CCCCTCCCAAAATCTCACTACACAGTTTGGGCTAAGCTGGAACCCAAGATTTTGTAGCCTTCACTTCCTAGTGCTGGAATTACAGGCGTGCGGCAGCATCCATGATTCGATTCAGCTTCTTTTTCTCTCCGATCCTTTAACTGAAGTCTGGCACCTCTATGAGGCTGTTTCTCTGCTTCTTGAGGACAGAAGTGTAACCTGTCTGCTACATCAGCTACAACTCAAAACCCAGAACCACTCTGCTAAAGGAGTTGTGAGTGTGTCTATCTCAGAAGTTTGAGTCCTAAAGAACTGATGAGACAGGCACTCATACAGTGAGTTCCAGGTCAGCCAGGGCTGCGTGTCTCAGTAAACAAATAAATAAAAGGTAGGTTGAAGGAAACCTCTGCATTTATATGTCAGGATACACTGTCTATTTCCCAGGACCAAAAAAAAATAAAAAAAAAAGTTTTTGTTCTGACCCTTTAGATTTCTTGTTTACTCCATAATGTAAAAGAAAACAAAAACAAAAACAAACAAAAAACCCACCTCATCCCTCCCCAGCCATGGCTCCTAATAGCAGTCTCTTCTCTTTCAACAGGGTCTCTCTAAGATGGACATAGAAGACTGCAATGGCCGCTCCTATATGTCTGGTATGCCTTCAGTGTTCCCTTCAAACGGGCGTGGGAGCAGACTCTGTCCTGTGGATGAAGGCAGAGAGCCTTCAGCCCTGGCCCCCCGGTTTCTGCTTGACTAAATGTCAGTCACAGCTGCCACTCAGTGCATGGTGCTTGGAGGTAGTACGCAATCCCTGTGGTCTTCCGTTCCTGATGGTGGTTCTTTTCCAGGCTCTGGAGAGGGGAGGGAATAAGAGTGGAAATATGAAAGGGATGGCCCGAAGCAAGCCGGCGGGAGGAGAATGTGGTTCTTTCTCCTGTGTTATAAGGTCACCAGAACAGAGTTCTGTCCCACCCAAGTAGAGTGGACCATCTTCAAAAACTTTAAAGTGGGCTGGAACAGTGGATAGCTCACAGTTTTAATACCAACATTTAGAAGGCACAGACAGACAGATTTCTGTGAATTTGAAGCCAGCTTGGTCTACACAGTGGATTCCAGGCCAGCTACATAGTAAGATCCTGTCTCAATCCCTACTACTGCAAAAAGCAATGTAATAAATAAGTAAACAATTTTAAAAAGAAATCAAAAAAATGTTAAAATAAGTAAAGGAATGACTCAATATTTCTAAAAGTGCTCCACGAGGCAAGGCAAGTTTGTGTATGGTCAGCACTTGGGAGGCTGAGACAGGTGGATCTCTCTAGGTTTGGAGCTAGCCTGGTTTACATAGCAGTTCCAAGATATCCCAGGCTAAATAGACAGACTCTGTCTCAAAAAATACCGGGCAGTGGTAATGCAAACCTTTAATCCCAGCACTCAGGAGACAGAGGCAGGTGGATCTCGGTGAGTTTGAGGCAAGCCTGGTCTACAGAGAGAGTTCCAGGGTAGCTAGGACTACACAGAGAAGCCCTGTCTCAAAACAAAATAAAACAAAATAATGATAATCATTGATACGGTCTGAATTCAGCCAGGAGGCCTATGGTTAATATCCTTTGAAGACAGGGACAGAGAACCCATTTTCATTATCCTTAGTCCCTTTCCATAGCATAGCATGCTACAGACTGTTGACACCTGCTAAATATTCTTTTTTTTTTTTTTAATGCCAAGTGCCGTTTATTGAAGGAGGGAAGAGGTCTTAAATACAGGCTTACAGCACAATGGGAGAACCCGGGAGGGCAGAAGTTCGCTACAGATGTTTTACAGTCTTGCATCTAAGCTGTTAATGCCCATTATTCAGGATACACAGACAAGGAACTCCCCTTAAGCATTCCGGAGGGTGGAACCCGGGAGGGAATTAGCATAGGGAGGATATCAAGGTCAGCAAGCAAGGCAACAGTTACCCAAAACGGGGGCCAGGGCCTTACAGGTCCCCCTTTTACTAAAAAATGAGCTTCTGACTTGGGTTGCGTGGGACGTCAGCAGGTCACCTTACCCGTCATGGAGACGCCTGCCCAGGCCACACAGGTGCTCTGTCTTAGGTTGGTGAGCGCCCCCCCCCAGGCATTACCCGTCTCTGAATACTCATTATCATACAGGCTCAATCGTGTGTGAGCTGTAGAGTGACTGCTGCCAAAGATCTCAAAGTGGCACTGGGCTTGCAATCTGTGTGTTCGACACAGAAAAGACCAACAGAAGTCACCCATAGCCAGTAGGCTAAAGGCATCTGAGCCACTCCCTTCCTTAACGAGCCTTACTGCAAATTGGAGTCCTCGTAAGAAGGTATCCCAAAAGCAAATGGAACTTGAGTTTATAAATTTATAATTTTCAAAGCCAATCGAGATGTATATAACTATTGAATTAAATTTATCATACCCAGTAGAATGAAAGATTCACTAACTGTGGTAGCTACTTTTGCTGCCAGGGTCTCCACTGTGCTAGCTGTAGTAAGTAACCAATTATGAAATGGTAATCCCAGAAACAGTAGCGACACCTGCTAAATATTCTTACAGAGGGAGAAGACATCATTACCTATTGCGAGAGTGGATTTTAGAAGTACCAGAACAATTGGTTTTAACGAGTTAAAGAGAAACAGGGAGAAGGGAGGACTGAGGTGCAGCTGGGGGGGTAGGCTGCTTGCCTAGCATGCATGCATGCAGCAGGCCGTGGGTTTGAGCTGCATAAACCAAGCACTCCGGTGCACACCTGTAATCCCAGCATGGGAAATAAGGAGCTTTATCCAGCTAATTTTTCTGAGGAGAGTCTGTTGTAGCCTGGGCTGGCCTTGCACTTGCCTTGTAGCCAAGGCTAGACTTAAACTCCTGGTGCTCCTCCCTGTACCTCTCAAGTGCTGAGATTATAGATGTGTGCTTCCAGTCTGGCTCAAAGGTTAGTCTTTTTATTTATTTATTTATTTATTTTAATTTATGTGTATGCATGTCTATCTACTGTGTATGTGGGTACCCCAAGAGGACAGAAGAAGGCATCTGATCCCCTGGGACTGGAGTTACAGAAGGTTGTGAGCCACCACGTGGGTGCCGGGAAATGAACCTGGGTCCTCTACAAGAACATCAAGTGTTCTTAACTGCTGAGCCATCTCTCCACCACCCTCAAAAGTTAGTCTTTAAGAATATATATATATATATATATATATATATATATATATATATATAACTATTACTATTACTATTACTATTACTATTACTATTACTATTACTATTACTATTACTATTAGAATGTCAGGATCAAAGAAACAGGTATGGTATCACACTGCTATAATTCTAGTACTTGGGAGGCTAAAGCAAGATCATGAGTTCTAAACCATCCTAAATTATACAGCAAGATCCTAACTCAAGCTAAAAATAAAATTGCTGGACCTGGCAAGGTGGAGCAGAAGCAGACAGATCTCTGTAAGTTCAAGGCCAGCTTGGTCTACAGAGGCAGCTCCAGGCCAGCCAAGGACGTATCACAATACCTCACCTCCAAGCAACAACAACAACAAAACATGGTACGGACTATGGTGGCCGTAATCTCAGCACCCAGGAGAGGGAAGCAGGAGGGTTATGAACTCGGGTCTACCTTGCACTGCATATTAAGAACCCATCTCAATAAAACAAGTCCAAGTGCCATCGTGGAAAAGAGCTATGAGGTGCTTTATTAATTTTCTTTAAAGTGGAACCAATGAAGGGATTATTGACACGCACAGATGGAGATATCGAAGTCAGACACACCTGAGAATCACGGTCCTCGTCTGGGTAATACACAGAAAGACACTGACTCGGGAGGAATTTGCTTAGGCACAGGCATGCAATGCTTGCCGCATGCTGGACAGAATGACACACTTCAGGTGGGCCGATTCAACGGAAAGAGGTCCTTCCGAGGAACCAGCCAACTCTCCCACCTCCGGTCCAGGCAAGTCTGTTCACTATTGAGCAACAAGAACACAGAGGACCGAGTTAGCGATGGACGGTTACTGTCAGAGGGATAAAATCCGATTCCTGCCGTAAGGTAGGCAAATGAGACGCTGTGAAGGAGGCTGGGGAAATGTCCCATGGGCTCTTTTCGGTAGTGTCTCTGGAGAATGTTGAACACTAAGCAGAAAATTTCCGAGGCCATTTGCTTCACTGCGCTCTGAAGCCACGCTTTGCTTCCTTAAGGTGGGTTGATGAGAAGAGACCTCTGCACAGATGGTTTCTGAGTAAGAAGAGAAGCCCACACCACGCCTGTGTTTTGAGAACTCTGGATGTCAGCAGCTACCTTCCGAAAGACAAAGTCAGGGCAGGGTTGACGTTAGGTCTAAAGAGTACCCCCTTCAGCTAGGTGGTGGTGGCACAAGCCTTTAATCCCAGCGCTTGGGAGGCAGAGGCAGGTGGATCTCTGTGAGTTCGAGGCCAGCCTGGTCTGCAGAGTGAGATCCAGGACAGGTACCAAAGCTACACAGAGAAACCCTGTCTTGAAAAACCGGAGGAAAAAGAAAAAAAAAAAAAAAAGAGTGCCCCCTCCAGGGCTAAACAGGGCCAAGAAGGCCCAACTGAGGTATCTAAGAACCAGTTACTGACCCCACCCTCTCCTAGGCTGATCCAGAAACAGAGGGTCAGCCCAGTGTCTAGCCTTTTACCAACCCTTTCTTGGGTCACCATAGATAGCTCTCTGCCTGAAGGTAGATGGTCTTCCTTACTGGCCACCCTGATAAAGGGAGGCATTCTCCTGTTCTTCCAAGGGGGTTTACCACCTCCCAGAACCCGCTGAAAGACCCCTCCCCACTTCCATTTTAGAGATACAGATAATTCCCACGGGGAGAAGGGGAGGGAAGCAAGAGTTACCACACAGATTCCCACCCTACCCCCACATACACCAAAAACCAGAAACTGAGTTGCCCAAAACCAGGCAAGCAGCTGAGGGGGCCACTGCTTGTCCCGAGTGTCTTGGTGCTGTGAAACATTTCTAAGAGAACCTGAGGAGAGAAGGATGCTCGGATTGGCAACCCAAAGTTTCACGGCCCCTCCCACCCCCAAATTCTTGGAATCAGAAAATCCAGTCTTGCGAAGTAGGTCAGCTCAGGAGTGAGCAGTTTCTCTGGAAGGGAGCAGGGGCCTCTTATCCTGATGGAGGACAGATTCATCCGGGACTCCAGCGGCGGGGGGGCCCCAGGGACACAGGCGGGAAGGAGACAGGGAGACCGAACCAGCGATCTGAGAGAGCTCAGGGTCACAGATCTCCCCGAGTCAGGCTGGTCTGCGATGCTGAGATGCCTCTTACCCCAGCGGCGGCGGGGAAGGGGGTTGTGGGAGGAGGGGAGGGTGGACAAGGGACTGAGTTTGCTGGAGGAGGAGCTTTCTGCCACTTTAGAGCCTGGAGGCTGCCCCTGTGTCCTGGGCCCCATGACCTCTGGGGCCTTGGCTTCTCTAGCTGGCAGAGGATTGGGCCTTCCCTGGGATACCCCCCCCCCTTCCTCCTCCCCACAAGCCTGCTCCTCTGTGTCTCTCTCTCTCTCTCTCTCTCTCTCTCTCTC